AAAAAATTGTTTAAGGAATCCAGCCTTCTTGCATATCGTAGACCTAAGAACCTAAAAGAAATCATAGGTAGTAACCACATTTCAGGGGACAAGGTAATCCGTAATAAACTAAGAACAAAAACAACAGGATTTTCCCAACCATGTAACAACAAAAGAAGTTTATGTTGCAACCATATTAAACACACGAATTCATTCACTAGCTCAATCACTAAATCTACTTTCAAAATCTACCACGATTCTAACTGTAGTTGTCATAACATAATTTACCTCCTAGAATGCACACTATGCCAGAAACAATATGTAGGAAAATCTGAATGGCCCTTTCATTACAGAATTAATAATTATTGCAATCGAATTAAGTTGACTTCCCATGAAAAATTATTACCTGTGGAACAACATTTCTGCCTGGAAAAACATAATTTCAAAATCCATGCCAAATTCACTATAATTGAGAGAATAGAAAAGTTCAGAGCAGATAACATTAGAAAGATTTTAGAGTCCCATGAAAATAAGTGGATACAACGTCTAAAAACACAATGTCCAGCCGGGCTAAACCACAAATTTAACAATATAGATAGTACTAATATATAACTCAACAAATTAAAACCTACCCACATTTCTCACCCACACAAGACAGACATGCTTATGGAGGTGTGGAGGCCTCGCACTTATACACACACCCACACGAATATACACACTTACACATCATACTCACTCACTCCCTAATGAGCCAAATGATAACACACAACCACAGCAATACACACGCTTACACATATCATACTCACTCACTCCCTAAGAACCAAATAACACACACACAAACACTAAACAGAGACACATCCCCTCTCCAGGAACAATAAAACTGTCAAAATGACCACAGGAATTCAGAGAAGCATAGATCCATCCAACTCTTATCTCAAATAACAACTTAAAAGAGACTGTTTGACCAACACAAGGAATGTTAAAAGATTCATGTTAAAAAGATAAAAAAATAAAAAAACAAATGAAAACTACAGACAAAAGTTCATTTTCTCCATCAAGACATTCATTTCTGTAGTTTAGTGCTACCAGCAAGCAGTAATATTTCTCCTCCCGATGATGGCCATTTTGGTCGAAACTAGTTGAGGAATCTAAATGAAATAATAATAAAAAAAATCGAAAGAATATTAATCTACAACCCAGTGTGTCTGAAGATTTTAATTTTTTAATATTTTTTTATTGTTCAATTCAATATATATATATATATATATATATATATAAAAAGAAAGAACAGCAAGATATATAATCCGGTGTTCTTATAGATATTTTTATTTTTACAAAATTCGCTTGAGGATGAAATAGAACTAATGTCTTTAATTTAATCACAAAATTAAATTCAGAGCTTTTAGCTTCCATTTTTGAAACATGGTTAGAACTGTGTAGTGAAAAAACCATATTTTAAATCAATTAATTTATAATATATATATATATGTGTGTGTGTGTGTGTGTTTCATTAAAGATGACAGACAAGGTATTGTGACATTTTATTGAATTTTTCTTGTGTTCGAACAAATATGATTTTATTCTTGTTTTTTAATGCCCCTTAAGGAACTATGTTACTGATGAAACTGAATTCATAAATAATTACATTGGCCACACTAATACATACCTATCCAGATGCCTTACATTACACCTATCTAACCACAGCTCCATTAGAACATATTTAAACACACACACACAAACTTAACAGACTCCATCTAAAACATACTAGTAGAAAATACAAGCATAATAACCTCATCCACATGTAAAAATAAAAAATAATGGAAGCCTTAATAATAAAAAGGAAAAAGCCAACACTGAATAATATTAACTACAAACACGGCCACAATGTGCTGTGTTCAGAAAATAAAGCTAGAAGCATATGCACAACCCATACACACAGTTAAAAAGCAAATATGAAATCACCTTCAATAATCACTAAAAGTATAGCTGAAAGCGCTTGGAATTACAAAACATTTGGATAGTTTCTACACACTGTATCCAGAAAAGAAAAACACTTGTTCGAACACTGGAAAAATTAAATAGAAAGCTTAATCACAGTAACTTATCTGATGGCTTTAATGAAACATGTATAGATGAAGGATTGCTGCTCATATATATATCTGCACTCCTTATAATTTCAGAATGTGAACTGGACTTGGGTTGGTAGCAGTCTGATGAGAATCTGACTAACACAAGGAATGATGGCATTGTAACTGACAAGTCCATAAGTCTGACGGAATGAGTGAAACCTGAATGACTGATGCTGTCTGGCAAGAATGCTTTCTCTGACTCTCTATTCATTCATCAAATCCTCACTTTTCCCAAAGGAATCCACTTACATCCTCATAACTCAGCAGACTTCTCAACATCACCACCATCCCACCTCACCGAGCCTGGGCCTCTCCCTAATCTTCATCCCTCCTAAGCAAGCCAAGCCCACACAAACCCCTGACTCTAATGAGATACTCCTAATACCTCTGCAGTTTCTTTATTATTATTATTATTATTATTTTCTTTTTCTTTATTTATCAGCTCCAGGGCTGATGGTTGGTAGGTAGATCTTTTCCACTTCTCTACCACTCCCCACACTGTCAACTTGACCTTTTTACTCACTGCCAAACAAGCCTTCCCCTTTTATTTATTTTTTTTTTTTGAAAGGGTATGGTCATTGCTCATCTGATAAAGATATCTTGTCTATAATCTATTTTATTCCCAATGTAACCTTGTGATAGACTTTACATGATAAATGAAGAGGCTGAAAAAATTCTTTACTTTCTACTGCATCAGTAAAAAGATTTTAAAATTTGATTTTCAAGACATTAACAGGCCTGCCCCTATTTGGAAGAATGGTGCAACTTAATCTCCCTCCTTTCATTTTTCTTTATTTGGCCATGTGCCATATTTAGCTTAGCTTAGGAAATTTCCATAAACAAGGGGAGATAACTCACTTGTGACTAACATGATTAAGCAACTGGTTTGGGTTCAATCTAAGGAGCTTGCATCAAGCTATTTTGCAAATTTATATATGGTATGACATTTGCGTTGTATTGAAATGGTCCGGGTTCAAGTTTTGGTAGTGGATGCACACTGCTGATGAGTCCCAACTAGGATGAAACGGCTGGCTGTCCAGTGCTTTCAGCATTCTGTTGAAGATTATTCTGGCTTCGATGAATTACTATATATACTTACTCTAAAATCCCCCCCTCCCCCCAAAAAAGAAAATTTTTTTTCAATTTCATATATATATATATATAGAGAGAGAGAGAGAGAGAGAGACAGACAGAGAGAGAGAGAGGATTAATGCAAATATAAAATTTGTCACTTAGCTACCTGATTGATGTATTATTCAGCATCTTGACTCAAGATGAATCTTTGTGTAATCATTTTGTCCACTTGTCAGGAGGTATCAGTAATTGTCTGTCAATTTTCTCATTTTCATTGTTTTTATATTAAGTTGAAAGAAAAATAATTTATGTGTTTTTTTATTGGTGTTAGCTTGATTCTTTCTTTCTTTTTTTCTTCTTTGTATGCACACATGTGTAGGATGTCATGGTTATTTCTTCTTTTCATAATAATCTTGTCTCCTGATACTCTCTCATTGTTTCTTTTTTTTCTTTTCTCTGTCTTTTGGCTCTGAGTGTCAAAAGATAATGTAACAATGTTATTACTGGTATCAAAGACAGGACTTCTATTTAGGTTAATTTTCCTGAATATTCTGTGGTTTTCTAAAGTTTTTGAAAATATAGTTGTATTCCATATTTTTTTTTATTTCTTTTTTAAATAAGCCATTGCTTTTAAATTAATGCTCAAATGACAAAATAAATACTTGTTTGTGTGTGTGTGTATATATATATATATATATATATATATATATATATATATATATAGTGGTCAATATACATATATATAAAATATATAAATATATATACATACTTACATAGATACATACACATATAAAAAATTTCCAAGAGGATAGAATCCAGTAGAACTCAATGTCCAGGACAGAGTAAGAATATAATAACGATTCAATTCATCAGACCTACAAATTCAAAAAGAAATTGGAGTTATTTGTTCCGATTTCTTTTTGAAATTGTAGCTCTGATGAATTGGATCATAATTATGATTCCAATGTAATAAATTATAAACATGGAATAATAGTGTTTAAGCCTTTTTATTATATATATATATATATATATACACACACACACACACACACACACACACACACAATTATTATATGTGTTGATAAGTAAATGAATTTGAAGTACAGTAACCTACCTTACATTTTGCACAACAGTGGCAACATACAAAGTGGATTAAAGAATAAATTTCTTAACCTCATTCATAGAGGAATTGAAAGTGAATTTATGCCACATAACATTATAGGATTTCAAGCAAGGAAATAACTCTATGGGAACATCTAGAAAAATACATAGTGTTTATAATCAAGGAGTTATATCTAACTGGCAAGCATAAATTGGTTTGCAAAATTTAATTCTGGAGAACTGTGGATGAAAAATGAGCTGAAACTGAGGTGTTTATTGAACTTTGTTGACAAAGCTTGAAAGTCATTAGTGGAAAGTGATGCATGGCAAAGTATTATGAGAATTAAACAAATCACCAACTACCAATATGTTGACACTTAGAAAAGATAGGAAAACTCAGAAACCTGGGTGTTTGGGTTCCATAAGCTCTCAGCAAAATGAAGAAAGTGGCTTGTTGATAAACAAAAGCAGAAATTATGTTACACTCAACCATATATATATATAAGTAACAAAAAACTTGGTAATCAGTATGGGTAGTCCCAAGGAGGATGAAATCCTGAGAGCTCAATGTAAATTCAGAGCTAATAATTTAAAAGGAAAACAGACCACTTTAAGGCTCCACTGTAATAGTTTATTTCAGAGAGACCTTTTAAAGTATTCTGGATCTTCAGACATCACTTTCAAATGGTGAATTTCACCATTTAAAAGTGATGTCTGAAAATCCAGAATACTTTTAAAAGGTCTCTGAAAAAATAAAGTATTAATGGAGCAAAATCATCTGTTTTTCTTTATATATATATATATATATATATATATATATATATATATATATATCAGGTCATCCCATAAGTTCTGTCCGAATTTTGAATAAAGAAAACAAGTGACTAAATGTTACATTTAATTACAGATTCAATCAACAATGTGTTTTCCCTGATTATCTATGACTTCTTTCCATCTATTAACAAACTTACTAATTCCATTACTGTAAAATTCTTTTGGCTTTGATTCAAAGACCTCACAAATGTCAGTTTTAACCTCTTCCTATGTTACAAAAGCTGTTTCTTCCAAATGATTCTGCAAGCTACAAAACAAATGGTAGTCTGAAGGAGCAAGATCGGGAGAATAAGGTGGATGAGGAATTTTCTCCCAACCAAGTTCTTCGGTCTTTTCTGACGTGATTCTTGCTGTGTGGGGTCACGCATTGTCCTGATGAAACATCACCTCTTTTCGATTCACTAGAGCAGGTCTTTTTTTCCTCAAAGCTTGGTTCAAATGCTTTAATTGCTGACAGTATATTTGAGCATTAATTGTTGCATTAGATGGTAAGAATTCAAAGTGGATTATTCCTTGGAGATCCCACCAGATTGAAAGAAGAACCTTTTGCCCATGAAGTTCCCTTCTCGGCTGTGGTCCTTCTCCTTTACCAAGCCACTGTCTACGATGCTTAACATTTCGATAAAAGATCCATTTTTCATCGCCAGTCACAAGTCTATCCAAAAAAGGTGAAACAAGTTGGCAAGAATGGAAAGAAGAGCAGATGTCAACTCGGGATTTGAGGTTGTTTTCAGACAATTCATGAGGCACCCATTTTCCAATTTTAGGAACTTTTCCAAGTTGTTGAAGATGATGATGAACTGTTGTATGGTTTGAACTGAGAACCACTGCCAATTCCTCAACTGATAAAGCAGGATTTTCTCCAAGGGCTGCTTTAAGAAGCTTTTCATCAAACTCAACTGGACGTCCCGTTCGATCTTCAACGGTGAAATCTCCACCTCTGAATTTTGAAAACCATCTTCTGCAAGTTCTTTCATTCACACATTCCTCTCCATAAACTGAGTGAATGTTTCTAGCTGCTTTGGCTGCTGAGTTTCCTTTCTTGAACTCATAAAGCATTATGTGCCTCAAATGATTCTTGGGTACTTCCATGTTAGCAAGGTTTTAATCAAGCAAAATTTAATTTTATTGTTCTCTGAAATAAAATTTGATCAGTTTAAATGCATCTAAACATAAAAATAATGTTCAGCTCCATTAGACATTATAAAATACTCTTTAAATTTTGTTCATTTTAACAAAAGTTAAAATTCGACAGCACTTATGGGATGACCTGATATATATATATATATATATATATATATATATATATATATATATATATATATATACTTACTGTTGTGGAGTTGTACATTTATTGCCATAAAAATCTATATAGCTGAACAATGGATTGTAGTAAGAGGTATTGGATTATGGTATCCCTGAAATAAAAACATTTAAAAAAAGAAAAAAAAAAAATGTGCGAGTGAAGGGTCTACATTGCCACATGGTTGTGAAAAAAGATTAAGGTTAATTATAGAGCTCTGTTACTTATCTTATATCTATAATTCTCAAAATGTGTGTGTGTCTGTGTGTACTTAATGGGTACAAAAGATAAGTTGGCGAGCAGTGTTTGATTAAATTCACCATCACCCTTAGGAAAAGCCATGTATCCATTTGTCTCTCTGAAATTATGGGTTAACTAGCAGGGAAGACTATGATCTCTAACTTTGATTGGCAACCCGTCTCAAAGAAAAACTCTGAATTCAAAACTGAGAAAGACTGTGTACCATTTCTCTGTTATCAAAAAGTGTGACTAATTGTGCACAAACCTTCAATCACAATAATCAAATGAAATATATATATATATATATATATATATATATATAAATATAACACCAATACACGCAATCTACATAAACCCAAATTTTTTAAAACATTAATCAGTTTGTCTGACAATCGCTAAAGCGTGAAACCCAGGGTCACAAACTCACATCTATCCAACCAAATATATATATATATATATATATATATATATATATATATATATATATATATATGTGTGTGTGTGTGTGTGTGTGTGTGTGTGTATGTATGTATGTGGTGCAGTTTAATTTATATTACAATAAATCATTCATAAAAAAAGTAAATTAGTAAAGTTAATGATATAAAATGATGAACTCACTTTGCCAACTGAATTTTAAAACTGCATTAACCCACTAACTACTCAATGAATGTTTGATTCTTGTTTTTTAAAATTAGGAACTGTATTAGGTTTTTATTAATTTACTTTTTGTATGAATGATTAATTGTAATATAAATTAAACTGTATCACATATTTGATTTAAAAGAACTGATCCAACATGCAAAATTTCGGGAAAACAACTGAGACATTGCTCTACCTATT